TGCTCTGGGGAGGGGCTGAACATTCCTGCCTGAACTGGAGAATATATAAACTTGGAGTTTTGGAACCTTTTTACCACTCGTGGGATCCAGAGGAAGACTGCAGCTCACCACTCTCAACCAGACTGAGACCACCACCCTCAACTGGACTGCAATCACCACTTTGACCAGACTGCAATCACCACTCTTGACCAGACTGCAACAGCACTCTCACCAACAGGTTTTCCCCTCACTTTCTCCTTTGGACTCAGGGGGCCCAAAGAACACCACTCTGTTCATGCCCCAAGGTGCTGGGTTATATATTTGGGTTTTGTGGGTTAAAACCAATTGTTTGTCTGTCTAATTGTACTTATTGTATTATTTTATTAAATTGTTATTCTGATTTATAATCTCTCTTTTGAGTTGAGTTCATTTCCCCTGCTGGTTTACCTTTAAACCAGCACAGTGCTTCACCTTCTTCAGGTGCAAAGGGCGCTGCTGAGCATGACAGTCCAGCTGTGGACATCTCTCAGGGTGCCAAGAGCTCTCAGTACAGACAACTTCTTGCACAGCTGAGCACTGCATGTCAGTGATGCTGCACAGAGTAGTGTCAGCGATCACAGAATCATGGAATGGTTTGGGTTGGAAGGGGTCTTAAAGATCATCTCATTCCACCCCTCCACCATGGACACAGACACCTTTCACTAGACCAGGTTGCTCCAAGCTCTGTCCAGCCTGGCCTTGGACACTTCCAGGGATGGGGCAGCCACAGCTTCTCTGGGCAACCTGTGCCAGGGCCTTCCCACTCTCACAGGGAAGAATTCCTTCCCAATATCCCATCTAACCCTGCCCTCTGGCAGTGGGAAGCCATTCCCCCTTATTCTGTCACTCCAGGCTGTTGTCCAAAGTCCCTCTCTAGCTCTCTTGGAGCCCCTTTAGGCACTGGAAGGGACTCTAAGGTCTCCCTGGAGCCTTCTCTTCTCCAGGTGAACACCCCCAGCTCTCCCAGCCTGGCTCCAGAGCAGAGGGGCTCCAGCCCCAGAACATCTCTGTGGCCTCCTCTGGACTTGCTCCAGCAGCTCCACATTCTTGTTATGTTAGGGACTGCAGAGCTGGAAGCAGCTCTGCAGGTGGAGTCTCACCTGAGCAGGGCAGAGGGGCAGAATCCTCCTCTCATCTACTGCCCATGGTGTGGGAGGAGCCCAGGACACTGGAGGTTTCAGGGCTCTCAGCTCACATGGCTGGGCCATGTTTAGCCATGATCATGCCCACACCTTTTGTCCCTGAGGGTACAATTAATCAAAAGGGGATTAATTGTCCAGGTTCAGAAGAGTTCAGGTTGTCCTTTGGCAGGGTGCTTCCCCCTCAAGACCCTCAGAGATGCCCATAGACCCAGACCAGCTCACCTTGCCTACACAACATTTCGCAGCCCCTGTGTCAGACCCCCAGGGAGGGAAGCCTCCCTGCTCAGGGAATAACCAAGAGGTTTTTCTTTAAATGAAAGGGATCATTTTCTCCCACTCTACTTGGAAAACTCCGGGAAGAGGTGAAGAGCTCACCAGGATGGGAAGAAGCAACAGCAGCAGGAAGCCACAGGGGTGGTTGCAGGAGAGCAGCGGGGAGTGGTGCGAGGAGTCAGCCCTGGGGGCTACCGGGGCTGCGCAGGACACGGTACCTGGCCGTGCACGGAGATGTCGAAGCGGAGGCCGTAAAGCTTCAGTAGGTTCCGGTAGAGCTGCCGCTGGGAGCCCCAGTAGTAAGAGGCAGTTCTGTGGGAGACATTGGACACACCTCAGAAAGCAGTGAGGGAAGTGGGCTGCCAGTGCCAAAGAATTGCTGGGGCTACTGTGTACCTGTGCACACCTGGTGTCCTCCAGGTTGGGACCTGGGTGATACATGTGTTGCCATGACTCACTGGCTGGCATCAGCAGTGGGGCATCTGCATCCCCTCAGCACCCAGTCTGGGAAAACACAGCTCCCAGTGCACCCAGTTCAGGTGTTGACAGCCAGAGAACCCTGCCTCAGGGAAGTAATGCTATGCATAGCTCCAAACACAGCAGATCTGCCATAGCATCCTGGTACTAACAGGCCCTACCCTGATTTACCATTTCCTGTCGTCTTGGAATCACAGAACCATTCAGGTTGAAAAGCCCTCTAAGATCATCAAGTCCAACACTTAACCCAGCACCACCATGTTCTCCACTAACCCACATCCCCAAGTGCCACAACTACACAGCCTTTAAATCCCTCCAGGGATGGTGAATCCACCACCACCCTGGGCAGCCTCTGCCGGGCTGGGCAGCCCTTTTTGTGAAGAAATTTTCCCAAATACCCAATCTAAACCTCCTTTAGTACAACTTGAGGCTGTTTCCTCTCGTCCTGTCTATTGTTACTTGGGAGCAGAGCCCAACCCTCACCTGGCTCCACCCTCCCATCAGAGAGTTGTAGAAAGTGAGAATGTCCCCCCTGAGCCTCCTTTTCTCCAAGCTGAGCCCCTTCAGCTCCCTCAGCCGCTCCTCGTCAGACTTGTGCTCCAGACCTTTCCACAGCTCTCCTACCCACCTCTGGACATGCTCCAGCCCCTCAATGTCTTTCTTGACAGGAGGAGAGTCACTGCCCTGGTCCTGCTGCCACACCATTGCTGGTACAGTCCAGGTGTCCTTGGCCTTACCAACCTGGGCTCACGTTCACTTCCAGGTCCTTTTCTGCCTGCAGCTTTCCAGCCACTCTGCCCCCCAGCCTGTAGCATTCCATGGCGCTGGAATTCCATTCCATTGTTGCCCAAATGCAGGACCCGGTACTTGGCCTTGTTGAACCTCACACCACTGGCCTCACCCCATGGATCCAGCTTGTCCAGATCCCTCTGCAGAGCCTCCTGCCCTCCAGCAGACCAACACTCCCACCCAGACTGGTGAACCGAGTGAAGGTGAGTTTGCAAATGACACCTGCAAACTGTGCCCCATCAGAGCACCCATCAGAACTGAGATCTCAAATGACTGCAGTGTGCTCATCCCACAGCCCCATGTGGCCACTGTCCCAGCATCCTCACCTGAAATTGTACCTTGTGTCCTGCAGGCTGAAGAAATACTGTGGCTGGCACTGGGCAGCAGGGTGGTCAAGGTTGCAGTCCCACTTGATGAGAACTCCAATGCTCCCCCCCTGCAAAACACATTTTACTCCAGGAGAAGCATGGGATCAGAAACTGGCTGAGTTCTTTACTGTTCAGACATTCCTAGATCATACATTCCCTTAGCATTTCAGGGTCAGTCCTGTCCTCTGCCTCTTGCTCACATCCTCGGGGAATTTTGAGTCATCTTCCATACTTCTATAAAAACTAAGTACCAGCAGTGCGAGGTCTCCGAAGTGCTCTCCAGCTGCCTCCACCATGTTACGTACACGGAACACAGGACAGGAGGGATTGAAGACTGGATCATATGTGCAGCTCTTGAAATAGCTGGGGTCACTGGTTTGCAAAGTGTTGCACCTGAGACAGCAGGGGCGGGGAGACAGAGTGTGGGAGGTCATAAAGCCTGTCTGTGGGACTGAAAAGGAGACCCTTCTGCTGGAGTGGGCCCCCCAGTGCTCTCAGTGGGGGGAAAGTCATTGCCTTGCCTAAAGCCTCAGATGGAGAGAGGGTGGAGTAAAACCGTCCCAGAGGAATCACAGAGTATTCATCTTTTATAGCATCTGCCATAGCCTTCCCCTGTACCTCCCTGTGTTTCTTCTTTCTCCCCCAGCACCCAGCTCCCACCCAGCTCGACTCAGTGCTCCAGGGGTGACAGCAGGGACAGTTCAGCTGCCCCACACTGCATCTTCTGCCAGGATAAGGCAGCACAGTCAGCATGCCTGGGGCTGCGAGGTCAGTGCAGCCCTTTACTTGGCTTCTGTGAAACCACTTTGCAAGGACTAAGGCAAAAATATTAGTCTCACTCCCTGGATGGCCTAGTCCAGCTTTCTGCAGTGCTCTACATGGGCATGGCCAGTCCCTCTCTCTGAGGTGTCCCCATCCCACTGCTTTTACAGCTGCACACATAGGGTGTTCACCTGAACATCCATCCTGCCTGTAACTGCCCAGCACCACCTGTCCTGGGTGGCACATGGCTTCACATAGCCTCAGGTGCTCAGCCCCATGACAAGTAGGCTCAGTGCTGAGGCTGGACCGGGCTCAGGCTGGCTGAGAAGCACCGTACTTACTTGGAGAAGTTAAATTTGGTGAAGTGGACAGTGTTTTTTATAAAGAGAGTGAAATTCTCCGCCTCAGCCAGAAGAGGTTTCCTGGAAAACAACCACCAATGAACTCAAGTCTTGCACAGTGGCCAAGGCACAGCCCCATTCCCCAAGCTCCACAGTCTCATCCGCAATCCCAAAATTTTGGCCACAATGGACAGCTGCAAGAAATGCTCTTGCGTAAAGTCCTCTGACCTTAACTGACTGGGAGACTGATGTCAAAGGTCTCCCTGAACACAGTTGCCCTTGGGCGAGTCTCAGGGTCAGGCTCCTGGTTAGACAGAGGGAAGAAATCAAAGCTCCCAATACCTGCTATCCCCTTATCTGTGATTACCTGGGCAGGGTACTGTTCTCCACAGGACACCAGCCATAGATCTCACAGGTGGAACGGGTGGCATTGAATATCACACATTTCCCAGTTTTTATCCCTAAAAATGAGAGAATGTAAGATAGGCTGAGAGAGTTGGGGTTCATCAGCCTGGAGAAGAGAAGGCTCCAGGGAGACCTTAGAGTCCCTTCCAGTGCCTAAATGGGCTCCAAGAAAGCTGGAGAGGGACTTGGGACAACAGTCTGGAATGACAGGACAAGGGGGAATGGCTTCCCACTGCCATAGGGCAGGGTTAGATGGGATATTCTCCCCTGTGAGGGTGGTGAGGCCCTGGCACAGGCTGGCCAGAGCAGTTGTGGTTGCCCCATCTCTGGAAGTGTTCAAGGCCAGGTTGGACGGGGCTTGGAGCAACCTGGGCTGGTGTCCCTGCCATGGCAGGAGAGTGGGACTGCATGAGCTTTAAGTTCTCTTTCAACCCAAACCATTCTAGGATTTTATGTTTATTAAGCAAAACTCCCAGTACCATTGCCATGAACCACAGGGTTTCCCATGGGACAATCTGCATCTTCTGTGCACATCGCGTCAAGGACAGAGGGGCTCTGGGAGGGACAAGAGACAAGTGCTGTCATTGTGCTGTGCAGCCACCTGAGGCCATGCTGTCACTCACCCCCATTGCTGTGCCTCTACTCCTGTTTCTTCAAGTACTTCCCAAACAGTTAAAGACCATTCACCATGTCCAGACCCTGGACAGCCTCCAGCCAATGAGGAGAGAGGCATGTCTGAGGGACAATCCTTCCCGCCTGTCTCCATGCTATTGGGAGCACGTCTCCTGCTCCTCAGAAGCAGAGGAATTCTCCAGAGCTAACTCAGACCTTTCAGCTGGAACTGGGAACCAGCATGAGGGCCTCAATGACTGAGCCCATTAAGCACCTTGTAAAGCACCACAACAAATGCCCTGGGGAAGAGCTTAGTAGACCTAAATCCAGCATAACACAAGTTTTACAAGAGACAGGGAAAGCTTCACCCTCACTCTGGACCTACCTGGTTCCCAGGAGCAGTAAAAACCTCTTATTCAAACACAGAGAGATGATGGCAGGTGGGGGAATACCACTAACACCTTCTCCAGCTACCCCAGGCCATGGCAGGAGTCACTAGCCCATTAGAAATTCACCTCCCCAAGACCCAGGGGGCATAGAGGCTCAAATGCAGGCAGAGAACTCCCAGTTATGGAGTCAGAAGAAGTGGGGGTCTGTCCAGGCCTTCCCAGGGCTGCCATAGGACAGCCTCAGCCTCTTGTTTAGGTGTGAAACCCACTAACGTGAGCCAAGAGGAGCAGCACCTTTGGGCTGGGTGGGGGCTCACTGCCTAGGGGTATAGAGTCATTATGGGATGCAGGAGAACATTTGGGTATTGCACAGGTGTTTTAGGGGATGGGTTGTTTAGGGAAGGAAGAGAAGGCATGGAAAGGAGGGAACTAGGTGGTCTGAAAAGGAACAAACATTGGAAAATAGAGGGATAAAAGGATGCAAGGAGTAACTGTGTGTACAGCTGCTAAAACAGCTCGGCTTGTGTTTGGTGCTGCTTCTGGCCCCAGACACACTGATCTGCCAGCATTGAATACTTTGGTCATCAAGAACAGTCAGAGAATATTCAGACTGCTCTAACTCCCCGCAAAGCCAAAAGCTGTCACTGCTAAATCTTCAAAGCTTTTCAAATATGAATGTCACCTACAGCCTCAAAGCCAGAACCTGAGGAGATCAGCACGGGGTGCAGGCTGGGACAGGCACCCACACACACTCCAGCACTGGAACGGGACGAAATCCTCTGCTCCCTCTGTCCTTGGCTTGCACACTGCAAAACTAGCACCGAGAGATGCCTGTGGCTGCCTGTGAGAGCCCTAAAATGCCCTACAGCACTTGTCTTCCTCCCTGTAAGGACTTCAGGAGTTGTCAGCATTTTAAAGATGGATCATTAGTGCTATTTTCCCTGACCCAAAACCAGGGTTGCTCCTCCTCTCCCACAGCATCTGGCCACAGCAGGAGCTGAAGAGACCATTAGGACAATCAGTGCTTGGCTCAGGCACAAGGTGCTAGGAGTGGCTCAGCTTAAAGGACATTTGCTCCCATCTACCAAGCCAGGTCCAGCCTGGGAGAGCTCAGCGGAGGGAGCTGGCCTGACCCCAGTCTTAAAGGGAAGACTTCTCTCAGAGAACATATACCACTAAGTGTTGGCTGGCTGGGAAACCACCTAGACCTTGTGTTTTGTTCCTCCTAAAAACAGGATGCTAAAATGGACGTTAGTCCTGCAGCAAGGAGTTATCAAGAAAACATGACACAGGTATTCATGGACTGTGTGTCAAAGCATCCCCTTGTTCGAGGGCAGCAGAAAGCCTGGAATGGTCATACAGTGCCACCACCCAAGGAGCCCAGAGCTGGTGAGGCCCCAAGTGTCCTTTGTCCTGGACAAAGGACAAGCAGTTCTGGCCAGAACCACAAGCAGTTCTGGCCAGAGAGCATGGATATACACCTTGGCTCATGCAGGCATGACAGAGCAAGTGCAGATGAGCATGGAAGAGCTATGGAGCAGTGCGAATGAGGGGAATCAGGTTTGTTGAGAATATAAATCCATTTTCCCCTTTTATCTGGTCTTCCTCTGGGTTCCACCGAGGAGCAGGACAGATGGCTCCATCCACTACCCCCTGGGGGCTGGGCTGGGGCAGCCCTGGCACTCACCTCGGGACAGGTGCCCTGGGCCTGCTGGGCTGTGGCAATGAAATTGGTCACCAGAAAAAGCACATTTTCTCCCTGGGAAGCAAGAAGGTACCATCAGTGAGGAGGGTGACACCAGGGTGGGTCCAGGGGATACCCTGTGACACTGTCACCGTGAGGAACAGGCAGTAATGGCCACGTTTGGGCTTTGGGAGGCCAGTGGTACCGGCGGCGTTCCCTTGCCAAGGGGATTGACCTCCTATGTGCCCCCCCCCGCCCCCGCCCGGGGCCCGGCCGTACCTGCGGGGGCCAGGTGAGATCCGCCGCGTCCCAGAGCCGCCGGCCCGCGGCCCCGGCGGGAGCCGCCCCCTTCACCTTGGTGACCACGGCGACACGCGGGGCCGCGTCGCGCTCCTGGTACCCCTTCCGCAGCAGCAGCACCCACCTGCGGGGGGGGGGGGCGGACGCTGAGGGACCCCCGGCCGCCCCCCGAGGGCAGGGGCAGGCATCCCTACCCCAGCAGGAACCCCCGGCCGCCCCCCGAGGGCAGGGGCAGACATCCGTACCCCAGCAGGTAGCCCAGCGCGCTCAGCTGCAGCAGCCGGTGCAGGAGCCCCACCCGCCGGTTTCGCGTCAGGGAGAACTTGGCCGTCTTGTAGTCGAGCAGGAGCCCGCAGGGCGAGCCCGGCATGGCGGCACGGAGGGGGAAAGGCGGACACGGAGCGGGGACAGAGGCCACGGGGTGCGGGGTTCGCGGACACCCGCGAGGAACTGAGGACTCGGCGGGTGGGGGGCACCCCCGGCACTGCGGCCCGGCCCCGCCCTCGTTGCCATGGCAGCGGCGCGGCCCGGCCGGAGATGGCGGCGGGCGGAGCGGGCCGCAACGAGCTGGGCGGGCCGTGCCTTCCGTCACCCTGAGCCCGAACCACAGCCACACAGTCACTGAGGGGTCTGGGTTGGAAGGAACCGTAAAGCCCATCCAGCCGCACCCCCTGCCACAGGTAGGGACACCTTCCGCTAGACCAGGTTGTGTTTTATAATCACAAGGTCATGGCCATGCTTCTGTTTAACTGTAAATATTTTTGAAATTAGAATTCCCACTGACAGAGAGCAGGATTCTGGGAGCAATACAGGCTTCAATGTCAAGGTCAGGATTCAGAGCATCTCTAAGTAAACTAACGGGGCACTTTCTCTGGGTGTACTCACAGACTGCCGCATAGAAGTGATGCCTGGAGAGGTACATTGTGGGGCACAGTGGGCCACAACCTTTTCCATTCCCTCTGCATCATGAATAGTGACAGCAGAAGTATTTTTCATCATTTTTATGGGAAGATAAATTAATCCTTTAGCAACATAAATTAAACTATATCCAGTCTTGTCTTTCCTAGCAAAGCTTGAAATTATTTTTGAAGGGGAATCTTGTACTTATGTACACCCTTGTCAGCCTGTGTTTGGGGACTCCCTTTGCTAGTGACTTTGACTATTTCTTTTCTTGTTGGTCTCAGCCTTGTTACTGCATAGTAACATTGGCTCCTGACTTTAACTATTTCTTTTCTTGTTGGTCTCAACCTTGTTACTGCATAGTAACATTGGCTCCTGACTTTAAGCAGCTGTTATTTAATTCTACACCCTTGTGTTCATAGCACTCCTGTGTGGTGAGATGAAACTCAGCTACTGCTCCCTGGGCCTTTGTCAGCACTGGTGTCACCAGGCTCGCTTGTGCTGTGATGAACTCCCCATCCATTCCTCTGGACTCTCCACTTGTGCAGAACATGCCTAGGGAGGTCATGGCTCATCCCTCACCTTTCAACCTTTAGGCTCCTCTCCTTTTTGCACCTTCCTGTCACAGACTTCACCTTCTCCATCTCCGGCTGTCCTTGGGCAACCCCAGACGTGTATCTCCAAGAGGAAGATTCACAAATCTCCCTACTCCTGGTCTCACCCTGCAGCTGTGCTCCAAATCTCTCTACTTCCAGCACTGTCTGTGATGGGTGCTGTCATAATTTGAAATTGGCCCCCCCTGAGAAGCTGGGGGGGCTCAGAGGTGATTGAGTGCCAGGGCAGTGTTCCCTAGAGAGCCAATCACCACTCATGTTGTTCGCTTCTGCTCAAAATCACATATCACAGCACCGGAAGCTGTTGGCAGGGCAGTCTGGGTTGTTTTGCTGTTGGTGTCTGCTGTGTGTAGGTGGACAAAACCAGGGGGTGGCTGGGCTCCCTCTTTTCACCTCCGGGGGGGAGAGAGGAGCCCTGCGACCCCCCAACTCAGCCTTTGGCTAGAGTTAGAGTCACCATTTGGAGTGTGTGCTGTGAAGGAAGAGATTCACAGCACCTGAGGTAAGAGGAGAGAGGCAGGCTTTGCAGCCAAGCCCTCTCTTCCCCCTCTTTTTCTGCAGTGAAGCTGTAGAGGGGGGGCTTTTTCTTTCCCTCCACTGTAAGTGGAAGAGGGGCTCAGAATTGAAGCTGAGCCAAGAGAGTGGGCCGTGGAGGTAGGCCCGGCACTCGGGAGAAGAGTCTCAGGCGAAACTGGAGATGAGCCAAGAGCTGGAGAGTTGCCTGCCGAAGCTGACCGGGGGCAGCCGAGAACTGATGTGGAGGAATGAAGATTCCAGGATGTGGACACTTGATAAGCTAAGCTACACTACAGCAGCTTACGAACTGAGGTGAGACACCGAGAGGGAGGAATCACCAGCAACAGAAGAGCAAGGACTCAAAGCTATCTTCTTGGACTTCATGAGGAGGAGAGACTCCAACAAACAACTGCTGGAACTTGGTGAGGAGGGAGTGTTCAGGAGCCCAGAACACTCCCACAGCAAAAGACTGTGTTACATGTCAGCCTTAAAGGCTGCTCCTGGACTAAAGTTAAAGGAGGGGCTTGAAAGGACTGACTGATAGTAATGTAATATATATATATATCTATAGTTGCCTTTAGTTTGTATAGTATTTATTTGTGTAAATAAATGTATATACTTCCCCCTTCCCCTACAGAAGCCTCTGGCCTGAAAGGTTCTCTTCAGTGTTAGGATAAATTGTTGAGAAGGGGTGGGGGAAGCCTAAAAATTGGATTTTAGATTTCTAATTGTGGCTCAAACTGCCACAGGCGCAAACTCAGAAAGGAAGATACTGAATTTTTTCTCTTCCATGCCACACCTCGTGCTGTTCTCCCAGGTTTGGGTCTTTCATGCAAAATTTTAACGTCCTCTCCATCCACTCCCTTACAACCCTCAATCCTCACGCATCTCACCCGCTATAGCTTCCTCCTTGAACATCCTCAATGTCTTCAGTGGGCTTCTCTGGCTCACAAGAAAGAAAACAACTTTAATCCTCATCGCTTCTGGCCGTCAGCTGTTCACTTGGCATCCTTCCCAGTTTCATTCTGCTTTTTTTCCTCATGTTTACCTTTGGAGGCTGCAGTGGCTGCTTGTCTCCACTCCTGTCCGCCTCACCTCCTGTTCCTTTCACAGTCCAACAGTTCTCCCAAGTCTGGTATTCAAGCCTGGCAATGGTTTCCTTTTCTTCTGTGCTGGTTGAACCCTCATTTCTTTCCTGCCCCATTGGAAACTTGCAGAACACTTGCTGAGGAAACCTATTCTGATTTCCAGGGGCTCTGGGAGGGGTTAAAGAGATCAGAGCTGGCTGCTCTGCCAGCAGAACCAGCTGGTGGGAGGCTGTGAGAGCTGCCTGGTGCTCATGTTGGCTTTCAGGCTCTGTTAGGCTGGAGAAGGAGCTGGGCGGCCACAGCTGCATGCAGGAGCAGCAGCCCCCAGCTTTGTCATGGCGATTGGATTTTCAGTCTTTGCTATGTTGGCAACCCGAGGTCAGAGAACACAGATGATTCGCTGGCAGCTTCTGCTTTGAGTTTGTGGTAAATGAGGTAGAAAAAGAAATAATATGTTGTAGTTTTAATTGCCTAGAGGTAATAGAGACAGTTGCAGAGAAATACTTGAACTAACTCAATCTTCCTTTTAAACTTAATACTTTTAACTCTTAAACTGTTTGGTTTCATGTATTTTTTTCTTCAGGAAAATTTTTGGAACAGCAATAGCAGAAAACACTGGATTAAAGAAACTTAAAATCAACTAGAACCATTTCCATAGTCAAGGGCAGCTCCCTTGGCCAAAGGCTTGGAGGTGGAAATTGTTTTCACTCCTGTTTTTAAACTCTGAGAGCTCATATGAAGCTCATCTGTTTAAACAAGTGGGAATGCCATGATGTGCTATTGGCCTTGTGCCTGTCCAAGAGCCATCAATGACCCAGGATCATACAGACCTTGGAGTCTGTATGAGAGAAAAATCATCCAGTGTGTTGACATATTGCCTTTCTCTGTTTCTAGTTTTTCCTTTTTTAGAGTCAAAATTACTATAATGAATGTTTTGAATTATTTAATTTCTAACTGATAAATGAATACAGAAATTGTTTTGTAGTCTATATACAGTTCTTATTCTATTAAAATTTTACTCATTAAAATAAGAAACATTTTTTCCAGCCTCTCAGGCTGAAAGGGGCTACTGAGGTTAGTGGTTAGTGGTGAGTTGGCAGTGCTGGGTTAATGATTGGACTCGATCTTAGAGGTGTTTTCCAACCTAAATGATTCTACAATTCTATAAGATTTATCTTCTTTATTTGAAAATAATGCTATGATTTACCTAGTGAAGTTTGTCCAATAAATGTGTAAATCATTTTATAGTTACATATCCAATAAATCAGGCCTGTACCTTGGACTCACATCTGTCTGTCCACACCATTTGGAGGGGTCTCTTGCGTGTTGTCAGGTCTGTAAATCTGGGCTGTCTCTGTCAGAATCATCCTGCCACCCCCTCGATCTCCAGATGAAAACTGCATGTATTGAACATAGAAGCTTTACGGGCCTTGATTTAAATCAGTGTAAGTACTTATGTTTTAAAATACTTGCTCACCATTTATTGTTTCTGTTATGTCCTTTGCCCCTAGTCCTTCCTGTGCTGTCCAAAGAAGAGATGCAAATTAAAGTCCTATGAAAAAATACACCAAGGAGAAGATCCACTTGGCTCTGCCTTGACACACATGGATTCATCAGTCACTGAAGTCAGAGCTGGGTGGTTTTAGGCTCAATATACCTATCAACATACCATTTAGGAACCTAGAAACACCAGGTAAGCCAGCAGTGTTTTACAGGGCGATGTCCCTGGATGTTGAGCATCCAGTTCTCCTGTGGGTTTGATGAGGTCAGGAGGTGGCTGAGGTAAAAGGAGCACGTGCCTGCTCCGTGCACAGGTGGGATCTGCCCTCCATAAGGGCTGCCGGGAGAAGTGGGAGCAGGCAGCCGGAGCAGGTTTTGTGTGGGAAGTTGGAGGGATTTGATGTGCTTTGGCAGCTGCTGCAAAAGGTTGTGAGGAATTAACGTGGAGAGTTACACTGAGAACTATAGTTCTGTTATACCAGTTATTCCCAATTTTGCTGGTGATCTCCCCTGCTGAAATCCCGGTTCCTCTTTCCACAAACTCAGTTGTGTTCTCTTTAAGTTGCAATAACTCAACAGAATATTTTTTGAGTCCCCTGTTCATGAGGGACTCAATGGTTCCAGTACTGAGCCTTTTTTTTTGGTCCAAGTGTCAATTCCATATTTTTCCTTTTTATTTTCTTTACGTAAATTGCCAGGTAGCAGTTGGATGCCTCTTGAAGGTGCTATAGCACGCCAGCACTGCTGCCTCTTTCCAGGCTCCTCTCTCCATTAAAGCACAGAGGTTACACAAATCCGTATTGATTGCCACTAATGGTATTTTTTCCTGAATTCTTGAGCAGCTCTCACTTT